CGGCACTTGCAGGAGGCAACCAATCGATGTGTTTCTCTCACATGGGTGTTTCTGTCTTTCCCTCTTTCTTCCACTCCCTAAAAATCAATGGAAAAAGATCCTTGGGCGAGGATTAACAACAACAAAAGAACTGGGGAAACCAAGGCACAAGGGGGCATCGTGTGTGTGTGTGTGTGTGTGTGTGTGTGTGCACGCGCACGCAGACCCTCTTCCCGCCCACATTCTGGATGCCCCAGCCACCAACACTGCCCACCTACCTGGCGGCTCTCACAGGCCCTTAAAGCCTCCTCCAGCTCCCGATGGACGCCCTTGGCCTGGTCCAGCTGTCTGGCCAGAGCCTCCTCGCGTTGGGCAGCCTCTGCCAGCTGTCGCTGCAGCTCCTGGACCTCCAGCGTGGGGTCCCTGGGGGGCACCGTGGCGTTGACTCCCAGCTCCAGCTCTGGGCAGTGAGAGCCCCTGGAGGTGGCCGCAGCCAGATTCCAGGCCAGGAGGGCTGCCCCGGCTGCAGCCGCCGCCAGGAACACAGCAGCCCCGCACAGGGCGAGCACTCTCCAAGCGTACCCCGGCTCCGGCCCAGGCTCGGCCATGCTGCTGTCCACAGCTCTGGCCTGGAGACGGCGATGAGCATTTAATTGGCACCTTAGGACGCCAGGGACACCCACGGGTCCGCCCAGCCAGGGCGTGTTTCCTAAATCCTTTGGGAGGGGTTGGGTCCTCACCAGGAGCCAGACCAGGCCTGGGGTCCTGCATTTTCCAGTTCTGCCTCTGCCTCTGCCTCTCAGTGCTCTTCTCTGAGCATCAGTTTGCCCCTCTGTGAAGTGGGGATGGCAGGAGGTCCTTAGGGCTTAATGACAATCACTTGGGCACATCCAGGCACAGGGGCTCCTTGGCAATGTGCCAGGGGCATATTGTCCCCATTCTGTTCATGGAGAAACTGAGGCTGTAAGACTAAAGGCTACTCGACTGACTGAAGTTGGCCTGGGTCAGGCTGTCATACTTGCTTTGACCAACTCTGAGGGCCAGAGGGAAGATAGATGCCAGGGTGGACCGCCCTGCTTACTCTCCACTAGGCCACCAGGGGGCGACCTTGCAACGTGAATCAGATCCAGGCCAGTTCACAAAGTCCCTCTCAGAATCCAGTCTCCTCCTCTCCACCCTCCAGCCTTCACCTCCTCCTGGCCTTCCTCCATTTTTATTTTTTACTTTCTGTTAAGCCTCAGTTGAGGATATTTTTCCATTCATTAAAACAATTCTTTTATTGATTTCAGAGAGGAAGAAAGAGTGAGAGTGAGATAGAAGCATCAGTGATGAGAGCACCCCACACCCCCCCAATGGGGATGGAGCACTCAACTCGGGCATGTGCCCTTGACTGAAATTGGACCCAGGACCCTTCAGTTCACTGGCTTACGCTCTATCCAAACTGGCTAGGTCAGGTCTTCCTTCATTGAAAAAAAGTTGTGTGTTTTTTTTTTAATTGATTTCAGAGAGGAGGGGAGAGGGAGAGAGATAAACATCACTGATGAGAGAGAATCATTGATCAGCTGCCTCCTGCACACTCCACACTGGGGATCAAGCCCACAGCCCGGCCTGTGCCTTAGACTGGCATCAACGCCAGGACCCTTCATCCCAGGCTGATGCTCTGTCCACTGAGCCAAACCAGCTAGGGCTCTTCCTCCATTTTTATCTCCTCTTCCTCCTCCTCCCTACTCCCCCCTCTTTCTCTGCCTCCCACTTTGCCTCACCTTTTACCCTTTGCCCCTTCCTAATCCATCACCTGCTTCCCCCTCCTCCTTCTCCTTCCTCTGCAAGGCCTCTAGTGCACCTTTGATGTCCTTTCCTTCTCCTGGGCACACTCCAGCCCTCCTCAATGCTCTTCTGGCCAGCACCTTCCTCCCCCAGGGCCTTTGCATTGGCTGTTTTGCTGTACTTTAACCTGGTGTCTGCCTGGTTCCCAGCTGCCTCCCCCATCGGACTGGATGAACCCCTAAAAAGCAAAGCTCACATCTGCCTGGTTCCCTATGCCCCAGACTGGGGCCTGGCACCCAGTGGTTGGGCAGGAAATGTGAGCTGAGAAAACACTGTGAACTAGAATCTCAGGGTCCTGACTCCCCACCCCTGGACCTCCCTCCCTTTGCTTCCACATGAAGAAATCAGAGCCCAGAGAGGCCAAGTCTCAGGCCAGAAACACACAGCAGCCGCTGGTCACAGCCAGATTCCTGTGGGACTTGGAGCCCCTCCAGACCTGCAGGACATGGGTCCTGACTTCTCAACCCCTGGCTCAGGTGGCCACAGCCAGGAGGGGAAGTGGGCATTTTTAGGAAGGAGAAAAGTCTATAATTGGGTCATTGTGTCAGGGTTTCGGGGGAGACATTGAACAGATCAAATTCATCTTGTTGGGCTTTGGGGCGGCCACACTGTTTTGGAACATTCTGGTAGCCCCAGCTGGGAGTGGGAGTGGAGGAGGGGAGGTGGGAAGTGATGAGGTCATGTGGCCCGTGGAAGGGTTTGCTTCCTGGAAATCAAGGGAACATGCTGAAGTCAAGGGTTCAATCGCCTGAGCAGCTGAGAGCCCTGAGCAAGTGCAGAGACTTCTCTGGACCTGTTTCCTCATTTGCTACATGAGGTTGGTGGGGAGTGACATAGCAAAGGGGCCTCAGGGGCTCCCACTGAGCCCTCCTGCAGGCTGGGGACACAGAAGGGGGAGGGGCACCCCAGCTTCTCCTTCTCCAGCAGAGGATCTCACAGCATATGAGTCTGACCCCCAGGGGACACTTGATAATATCTGAAGGCAGTTCCTGTCACAATCTGGGGGTAGGTGGGTCTGGCACCTGGTTGGGGGAGGCCAGGGATACCCTGACTTCCTACCCATTCAGGGCAGCCCCCTCCAGGGAGCGCACTCCAGCTCAAATGTCAACAGTGCAGAGGTTGAGAAATCCTGCCCTAGAGTGTCAGAGTGAGGCAGGAAGGAAATTGACAAGGTCCCTGCACAGAGAAATGGTCTGGGAGGGTGGGGAGTTGTCAGCAGGGGAAGGGAGGGGACAGAAGGGCCAGGGGTGCCTGTGGCAGGGATGGTGTTTGGGGGTCCCTGGGTGGTTGACCGCCTCATCTGGGGACTGTGGGACCTGAGGGCAGTGCAGAATTTTGGGCAGACACAGGGGTCCTGACCCCAGTGTCATGCACAGGAAGTTTCATGGACAATAGTCAGGATTCCAGGAGAAGTTGGAGGAAGTAAGATAACAGAGAGGAAGGAATTAGGGGGCATGTGAGGATCCAGGAGAGTGGGTGAAGGGTCACTCAAGATTGTGGCCCCCCTTTTTGGAGAAGCAGACTCTCTGGGGGTGGGGCTCTGCAGGATGAGTAAGAATTTGGGGGATGGAGGAGGGAGGTACCTTGTGACAAATGCCTGGCCTGGGTGTGTCTGCAGATGCAGGTGTAAATCCCAGCCCCACACTTTCTGCTTTTATTTTTTTAAATTGATTTTTCTTTTTATTGATTGATTGATTTCAGAGAGGGAGGGAAACATTTTGTTTTCTCACTTATTCATGCTCTCACTGATTGACCCTTGTCTGTGCCCTTACTGAGGGTTGAACTGTGACCTTGGCAACTTAGCTACCT